TCCCGTTTATTTTTACTGATGACAGAGACAAAACATGAGATTTGTCATTGTTTTCAAGGGTAGCGGAGTCAAAGACACTGACTTCTTGAAGGTGTGAGCCTTTCTCATTGGTTTTAAGTACCATTCTTGGGAGATGCGACCTTCTCCAGACACAGCTTTGCTCAGGGGGGCGTTCTGAGCAAAGTTTAGGCCACTCTGCTGGTTATCTCCTCACTTGGGAAAGCTGCTATTACATCCAACTTGCACCAGTACTTGCAGGAGCAGCCTGGCTAACCCTCTGCAGAAGGAGGCAGAATCCTTAACAGTCATGGGAGCATTCACCCATCAGGAAACAAGAAGAGACGAGGAAAAGCAATCAGCTTTTCCGAGATGCCACTAAGGAGGTGCACTTAACCACTTCTTACTCAACCCCTGCTGCACATATAAACTCAATTAGCAGCCATATGCATACACACGTATATAAAATACCCTTTAAGTGGCACTTGAACTTGGAAATAAAAGGCAAGTGGTAAAACTGTTGAAGTTAAGCAAAAGACAACACACGCAATGTCACTCCTCCCAGGACCCACGAGGCTCAGGTATTATTCTCATTCAATTACATATGCATTAAAAAAAAACCCTTTTGAAATATCAACTATATTTGTTACTATTCCTGGTTCACAAACAACTGCCTGGTGTTTCTGTTAAGATATGTCAGAGCTGTTAAATGCCTGTATAAATAATAAATGGGAAGGGCATGTACTAAGGCTAAGGTCTCTCTGCATCAAGACACAGACAGCACTATGTTTTATTAATAGCAATTTAAAAACCACAATGAAGTAGGAAAATGGCTCCTCTGCCAGGATTTAAAACTCCTAGCTCACAATCAAGCACAGTCCAAAGGGTAACAGTTCTAACTTCATCACAGGGACTCTACCAGATCATTTAGACTTGTACATATAGATTTAAGAGTCGTAATTACCACTGGTAGCGGATTCTTTTTCAGTGCCATGTATATATTGATTAGTAGGTCTTGGAGTGATGGTGAATCCAATGTTGCAGAGCAATAGGTTACCTATAAGCACTGTTTGTAATCACCTAGAACAGCTTCTAATGATGTGCCTTCCTAGACAAGGAAAAGGTTTTCTTTAATATGCTATTACAGTTTACTAACCCCTTAAAAATAGGAAGAGTGAATAATGCTGTGTTTAGAAAGCTTTTCCATGTCTAGCTTTGTTCCTTTGCACACTCCTTCTGTTTTCTGCATGGTCTTTTGGCAGCTTGAAACCACTTTCATAGGGCCCTCACCTTCAGAAGACAACACAACTCCTACAGGGAAAGCAGTGTTATAATGATGCTGATAGTCACTACGTACTGCTGGGGTATTTGTCACCTTAACTAGGTTGCTGGCCTGAGCATTCATGCCTGGTCCCATATACAGATGATACTTCAGAAGTGAAGGCGACTTCTGCCTCTAAAATATAACCTATTCCATGATATCTTTGGGACAGCTGTGATGATCTTCCTCCCATTTCTATCCCTGGTTACTTGTGCTACGATTATGGAAAAATATTATGTCATGGATGTGCGCACACCAATTATTTCAGTTGAAAGAGTCTTGTGCATTTCTAAAAACAAGCCTTCTAAACCCCTTTATATCCAATAGGCAGTGACAGACGGAGCCCAATTTACATAAAATGACACGAGCATCAAGTTCTTTTCAAGTAAGTCAAAGACTCAAAAATAGCAATCGCAAACACTCAGCCTCACGATGCGCGCCTATTACAGTTGCAAAATCTCTGGTGATGGTTACGATTCTTTCTGCTTTTGCACTTCAAAACCGACTTGCAGCAAGCAGCCAGCACACAGCTCTTTGCAGATGGCTTTGAAGAACAATCCTGTTCTTCAAAACAAGAACTAGGGCGTAATCAGTTAAAGAACTAGGGCTTGGGTATAACTTTTTTGATATATTATAATGCATAATAAACCTGCAGCACAGCAGCTGAAAGGACACTTTTTACAGCTCCTCTATTTAAAAAAATCCCTGTTCTGTGCTTTCACATAATAAGACTTCGAGAAGGGTTTAGATCCCACTTAGATGACCAATAATGCCTCAATACCCAGAACACGGCCTGTGTTGTGAGAATGCAACTGAAGAGTGGATATAACACACCTTGTTGCCTACACCCATGTCCTTGGCAGATAAAGCACAGTAAAGGACTTAGGGAGAAAAATCCTTGATCTGCCCTCAGTGACATGGGTCAGTGGTGGTCTTGCAGTCCTGAGGTAATGGTTGGACTTGACGATCTTATAGGTCTTTTCCAACCTGGTTGATTCTATGATAGAGATGTCATCCCCCACTGGCCACTTATGCGTTCACCTACAACCTTCTCAGTTGCAGTAACCTTTTCTATGCATTATTTGGGTGGTGGTCTAAATAAATAGAAGTAAATTCTATTAAATAAAATAACAGAAATAAATTCTACCAAATTAAATAATAGAAATAAGTTCTATTTATTTAAAGGGTGGTGAGAGACCAGATCTCTCCTGTCACATCTTCATCCCAAGCGCCTGTTCCCATAACAAATACAACCTGCTCTCTGTGCTAAAGAACAGACATATAATACTTCCTTATGTTTCCGTATCTCACATACAGACACTCTCACCCATCCAGAGCCAAGAGCAGGTTTCCCTTTCAAACATGAGGTTCAAAAGTTGCTGTGGAGGTGTGGATCTGCTCAGCATAGCCCCGTGTGCACTGCAGCAGAGCTGCCTTCAAAGAGGAGAAGATGGAAATGTCCCTGTTTTCTATACTTAATATCTTATACCTGGAGTAATTCAAGTTAATTTTATAGATGCCAAAGGAAAACAAATCCCATCTATGGATACAGTTTACAACTGGAAAGAGTGTTCTACATGTAAATAGCATTAAATCAAATTCCTCTTTTGGGGCCAGCTTCCAAGAGCTTTGACTCCAGTGCGTGCCCTGCCACCCTGCACTGCACACAGTTGTGCTCTAGGAGTGCATCTTTTCATTCCATGACCAAAATGCTGGTGAGCCCCAGTGTGTCCACAGCCAGGGTGAACATGTAACATCTAGGTACAAAACAGCTCAGAGATGTGCTGCATGGAAACATGGCTTTTAAGGACAAGGAGGCAGAAAACTTAAGCACAGCTCTGGGTCTGTTCTCTCCTGTCTTAAATACAGTCCTAAGGTTTTGAAAGAGTGACTGCCAGACACCTCATGAATAGAAATGCACTTTTTAACATTACCCAGCTGAAGGCCAACCTTTACTTATCGACAGCTGTATGTTGTGTATGAAAGGAAATCACTGAAAGTCAAACTAGCCCATTTCCTTGCTCAGACCTTATAGGAATCCCTTATAGAGCTGGAACAGCTGTGAATTAATACCTTATGAATATAAATGAACTCCCCAAACAACTTATTCTGCTCCTGGAGTAAACTGGAGATGCAAAATATCAAAGCAGTCTCAAAGAATGAACTTTGCTGATATTTGTCTTAGATTAAAAAAACCCTAATCTTTGTTAAGCCTCACCTAAAGTTTGAATACCAGCAAGTCCAGAGGCAGAGAACCCTGCACTGGTGTGCAATAAGGACAAATGCCCCATTGTTCCTGCAGAAGCATCACAGAGATATAAGCTTCATTTAACACCCCACCACACCTGCCCTTCACTAGAGCTCACATCAGGCAAACAACACTCTTCCAAGCCAGGATCAGAGCCTGTGCTCCATCCAAAACTCCAGGTGCACAAACACAGCCTTTCTGAATGGGAACACTGCAAGATCCCAAACACACTGAGCCCTGCAGGAGGATGGAAGAGAGCACAAGAGCAATAGCGTTTCCTTGCAACTGCCTGATCTGATACCCTTTCATCTCAGCAATGAATCGTAGAAAATCCCAGCCTGGTTTGGGTTGGAAGGGACCTTAAAGCTCCTCCAGCTCCAACCCCTGCCACAGGCAGGGACCCCTTCCACTGGAGCAGCTTGCTCCAAGCCCCTGTGTCCAACCTGGCCTTGAACACTGCCAGGGATGGGGCAGCCACAGCTTCTCTGGGCACCCTGTGCCAGCGCCTCAGCACCCTCACAGGGAAGAGCTTCTGCCTAAGAGCTCAGCTCAGTCTCCCCTCGGGCAGGTTAAAGCCATTCCCCTTGGCCTATGGACCAATGGTGCTATTGCTCCAAGTGTCAGGCTATAGCTCTCCAGCCCTTTGTAAACATTAAGCTCTACATCAGACCTGGGACAAAGATAAGCATTTTCATAGCCAGTATCCACCTCCGTATGTAAAACAAAGATCTTGAAGGATTCCCCTGCTGCTCAGCAGCCCAGCATTTGAACTGCAAGCATTCAGGCAGGTTTAGTAATGCTATTCTTTTGGGTTTTCTGCTAATTGGAGAGCAGACGTTTCCCTGTTCAGCCAGGACCTGCCTGTGCACTCTGCACCATACACACACACAGAGGCTTTTCAAAGGGAAACTTCAAAGGGAAAGACCTGTAGCCACCAGAGCATACGCCAACGTGTCCTGTAAAGACCCCAGGCCAAGAAGAGAGGAGGAAGTTACAAACCAGCCCAGCCTCACTTGTTTGCAAAGCCCCCAGTGTCTGAATGCCAAAAAGCACTCATGATGCTAAAAGCATTGGCAAAGCATCAACAACAATTCTGGAGGGAAGAAGGGTAAAGTTAATCACAGGGTAATGAGGTTGGTGTTAGCCCCTTGCTTATGCAGGAGAATTCCCAGTTTCCCAGTGCAGGAGTCTTTAGGATCTGGGAAAAGTACCCCCTGGCAATGACAGAGGGGGAAGTGGGAACCAGAGTCACTGGGTGCTCAGACCACGCTTTCCACCAGCGGACACATTTTGCCCATCTCTGAATTACACCCTACATGACGGGGTAAGTCCAGGACTATTAACCTGGATGCAGATGCTCCCAGATCCCAAGGGAGCATAGGACCAGCCTGCCTGCACCGTGTCCATAACCACCATTACAAAGCACCTACGTACTTATAGGGCTGCTCAGGACCCACCACTGCCTCAGAGGTGTGAGCACACACCAGACAGCAGCATGCTCCAAAGGCTGGCATCTGCTCCCCCAGAGGCAGAGCTGTGCTAGGTTATCACCACAAGGGCCAGGAAGCTTTCCTCCTTCATCCCAATGCTCCTGCTTCGCTTTGCTCTCCCACTCAAATCACTGATGGTCTCTATCGAGCTCAGGAGGAATGTGTCCCCACCCAGCTGGGAATTTAGGCCAGCTGCTGAGCCCAGCTCACCAAGACAATGAGGCTGTTGACATGCTCATCATTTAGCACAGGCTCCACCTGCCTTGCTCCATTATTCCAAGTCTCTTCCAGGATAGCTGATAGCAGCCTTTGGCTGCATGGTGAAGGACGTCTTGAAGAGACAACTGCCCTGCAGAGTCACTCAGCAAACCTGTTTCCTAAGAGCTTTCCTCACCTCCCTGGCTGGCATGATAAATACATCGAACTGTACACATTTGTTTCGCATCTCAGCCAAGCAGATGGCTTGGGAGGACTGAGGGGATATTAAATTAAGCTGAGGTGAACCTTCTGGGAAAATTCAAGGGAACTTAATTGTATAGTATTAACTTTTACCTATTTCTCCCTTTTTATTTGGCAAATACTTATGAGCAAACTCTGCATTTAATGAGGAAGAAAGCCCTGATGAAAGGAGATGTTTTTTCAACATCTTTAACCTGAATTCCTGCTGGTGCTGAGTATTTCCCCACCGGAATGCTTACAGGTGATGAGGTTACCCTGCCTTTTTTTTACTGATTACACCCCAGGCTAAATTAGGTCCAGGATATAGATACAGATATGTAGAAAAACTTCAAGATAAACATAAAATATTAAACTCATCAAACAGAGCCCTAATCCCTCTGCAATTTGAAAGTGCAATTGTTATGTATCATATGCAATGTACACAGTTTTATTACAGAACAAAGAGAGCTGCACACAGTTTTCAATGGCACGGATCCCTTGACAGACCGGCTCTGCCTCTAAATTTGTCCAGGATAAACTATGGTGCAGAGGTGCCATTTCCAGCAGCCAGGAATAGAATCAAGGCTCTCTCCCTGACCCAGCTCTGGCTAACGGATACAGTTATATTCTGAACAGACCCACTCCAGCAGGGAATTGCTCAGTCACCTTGAGTAGTGAAGGACTTGGGAAGGACTAACCCTTCCTAGTTAAAGGAGCCTCTTGTGTAAGGGCTGAAGTCCAATGACAAAGTAACCCACAGGAGGGGTCTGTTAATGGGAAATGGAGCCTTTCAGCTCCAGGCTTCTCATTTAAATTGTACTGGTGCAAGGCTAAAAGTCATCCACTCCTGACAGCTAACTGCCTGCCTCTGAGCAATGCAGCACTGAGTCCTGTCCAGGCCATGGACAGATAGATAACCACAGCATCTTATATTGGCACTGACAAATATAGATACTACTTATGTAAGAAGGGGCTTTGGGGTCATTGATTTCTTAGGAAGATGTTCCTACTGATTTCCAATAGAAAATTCTGATCTTAAATATTGTATAAAATGGCATTTTGATATTATTAATGTCATCTACTGAACAATATGCTTAATCAAAGTGTAAATAACGATGATGAAAATACATACTTGGCACTGTGACAGTGCAAAGAGCAAAGTCTCTTATATAAAGAGCAAAAGAAAACACTAGGGATTAGAGGGAAGGGAGTAATAGCCCCTCACTTCTAGGCAAGGAGGAGAAAAGAGCTTGCTGATGCTGTCCAAGGTCACATGAAGAACCTTAGAGCTTCTGCCTGTCGCTTGAACGTCCCATAGATGGTATCTTGATGTCTCCTGTACCAGTGAATCACCAGGGAAAAGGAAGCTTTCCCCAGAGTGGCAGAGATACAGGAGGCTCGTTTTGGGTTAAAGCCCAGCTTGAAATACCAAAGGAAAGACAACATGAAGTTTATCAAGTAAAGAAATCTTAAAATAAAAGGATTTAGGAACACTGTCATGATCTCAGTGCTTACATCAAGCACAAGCTGTGCATATCTTCATATTATATTTACTGTTATGAAAACATAAACTGGATTACCAGGGCTTAGTGCTTAAGCAGTCTGCTTCAGAAGGAAGGCAAGGAACTTCAGCTGTTCTGGTATTACAGATGTGATTCAGACAGGACAGGGAAAAGACAAGGACCTGGATGCTTTCCTGTTCAAAGCACAATTATACCAAATAAAAATTACATACCACAACCTTACCAGCTCATATACATAAACCCAGACAAGGCTGGAGGTTCTGAACTGAGCAGCCTCATCCCTGTAAGGAGCTCTCTGAAATCATTTAGAGTTTAAACATCACTTTCCTGAGGTTATATGGAACCCATCACACTCACGCTGAAGGGTAGGGAAGTTTCACCACTGCTTTCAGGGGATGATGTTACTACGTGAGGTACAATTGTTAAGTGTCATAAGTGGGAATAAGGCTCCTTTGAGTGGGAAATTTGCAGTCAGCAACCAAACCCAGTGTGACCAGTGGAGCTCTCTCCAGGATGAAAACAAAAGCACTGTGGATTCCAGGCATTACAGTTCATTTGCACTGCAATGAATGAGTCTGGAGCAGCGCACAGTGAATAAAGACGGAACTTAAACGCCGTTTCATCCAGGTTGATGCCCAGATTTACTACTTATTAGGCAGATCATATCCACATCTCCACTCAGCCACACTTGTACAGCCCCGCTTTAATTGCAGAGCTTTAACTACACTGCTTTCCAGTTTGCTTCACTGGATTTAAAGTAATACTAAAAACCACACACTAAAAACACAGTAGCTCCAGCTACTCTGAGCTTAAGGAGCTCAGCAGCCTGGGGAAGGATGGCTTCCGTTCCTCCTGCCTGCCTTCCTCAAAGCAAAGCAGAGGTTTTGTACCCCTAAGAAAAGTTCAAATGTGAGATGTTTTTAGGAGGTGCTTTTGATCCAGCACTAGATAGAAGAGGGCTGAAATCTCACTGCTGCTGCTATAGATTTGCAGGGGCTTAACTGCCCCGTGAATACAAAAGGAGCAAAATGTACCTTAAAATGTGCAGAAGTCAAAGGAAATCCATGTGCTGAATCCAGCAGCTTAAAGGTCAGCCACAGCTTTTACTAAATCAGGAGTTCAACGCCTGCTTTGTTTCTCATTTATGCCAGAACTACCCAAAAAACCCCATCCAAAGAAACCAACCCATGGCACTTCTCCCTCCCCATTCCCTGGCCAAGCTAAGACCTGTTTGTAACTTCCATCCCTTGGTGTGGCTCTTACAGCTCTCGTACTGATCACAGGGAAGAGGTAGAGCAGCTTCTGTGCCAGTCACAATACACAAGGCTGACAGCTCCAAATGGCACGCTGCTTTTGCAGACAACACCTGTGAGACATTTGAATTCTGACTTCTCTCCTTCTTCTATGGGCAAGACAAGAATAAAAACACAGATCTGGGCTCCTGCTTGTTGGGAGGGGGGTGGTGTTAATGTTTTGTTCAGCTTGGTTTTGTTTGCTTGTCTGTTCCAAAATAACCTTGGGAAATGAGCCTGCTGCATATCACTCCCCTAGAGAAATGGAAATTGTGTTATCTGTGGTGGTTTGTACCTGGAGGAAGGGTGGCGAATCAGTGATTGCAAGAGAATGGATTCGTCGTCAAGTGGGTTTTTTATGAAGGCATCAACTCGGCCTCAGCATTCGAAGAGTCCTATCTACAGGGAGAGCTCCGCAATAGGAAGAACAAGATATCACAAGTAACAAATTCAGAAATGCTCGCTTTTCTGCAGGCATCTCCATGTAGTACCTCAGAGAAAATAAAGACTGAGAGGAAAACACAATGTGCCTTAACTACCTGTAGTAATCTGGAAAGGAAAGAGGCTTCTTCACAGCAGGCATGGGAATGAAGGAGCAGATGCTGGCTTGAACCTCAGTTTGTGCAAATAACAGAGAAAAATCTTCTAAGACAGCAAGGAAATTAGAAAATAAGAGGTGCTCAGAGGGAAGCTGTGAATCCACCAGCCCTGCAAGCTGTGATGGGAAGAGCCAGACACAGGATTCAGGACTAGACAACAGCTTCACTGATGGAAACTGCAAAATGGCAATTTCCCTGTGCAGCAGTGATGGCATAAAAGGGACCACACAGCCTTTTGTGTCTCTTCAACTACTTATGACTGTGCATAAGAATCAGCTGCCCACATGCATAAAATATAAGGTAAAGGACCTGAGGTATCTACAGAGACAAGAACCGTCATTCAACTTCATCCCAAGGTGAAGGCCACAACTGATTTATTCTTATAATCTGTTTCTATTCATGCAATACTTAAACACACTCAGAGAAACAAAGCAGGGATTGAATATGGTGACTGTCCCTTTGCATATTCATTATTTTTATTAGCAAGTTCACTCTCATCACAAGCTGCCTGCTCTCTCATCTGGGAGAAAAATACATTTATAAGGCCAAGTTTAAAATCAACTTTCCAAGCATGACCAGAGAAGGGGAACATCATGCACATTGTGTAACTCTGCAGCAAATACGTTAGAACACAGTTCTGAAGATCAAAACTAAACCAGATAAGACAACTCAGACTGTGTGTGAAGCACACACGTGTACACACGCTCATAGGTGGTACTGTCAGAAAGCGATGGAGACACACACCAGGGAGGAGAGGAGTGATTTCTGTGCTGATGAATGGACAAATGGCATCTCAGGAGATGCTGCCCAGTCCAGCACGGTTGGGTGGGATGAGCAGATTCCAGCAAAGCTCCCTGGAAGCAGCCCCAGGCTGGGGGGCTTTCAGAGATCAGGGTCACCCGACCCAAAGGCTCCCTAAATTGAGCATAGGACAACACCACTGACCAGGGCTTTCCTGCAGCTCCAGGAAAACACAGCCTGCATTTCTAGTTTGTCAGCATCCTTTGCCATAGAATCATGGAATTGTTTGGGTTGGAAGGGACCTTAAAGCTCCTCCAGCTCCAACCCCTGCCATGGGCAGGGACCCCTTCCACTAGAGCAGCTTGCTCCAAGCCCCTGTGTCCAACCTGGCCTTGAGCACTGCCAGGGATGGGGCAGCCACAGCTTCTCTGGGCACCCTGTGCCAGCGCCTCAGCACCCTCACAGGGAAGAGCTTCTGCCTAAGAGCTCATCTCAGTCTCCCCTCTGGCAGGTTAAAGCCATTCCCCTTGGCCTGTCCCTGCATCCCTTGTCCCAA